GATCCTCGGCTTCTTTGCCAAGGCGAGCCCGCCCCCCAGGCAGTGAATTTAACGTGTTTATGTAATTTTTCACATTTTTACGAAACTTAGTGCCCCGAGTAGCTCTCGACGAGGCCAATCGATTGACACTAGTTTTGTTGTCGGTAAGGCAAGACTCGTGTCGCTACGCGGTTTTTCCCACCCCGGGGAAGTGATGGGACCCCGGGGTCCCGCCAATTGCTTCAATTCATGAACAGCTCCGCATTTACGAGTTGAGAGTGTCAAGTGTCGACGTGTTGAGAGCTGTTTACCAGTCCAGAAACAGAAGCAAGATTATAAAAAATAACCACCCCACCCTCCACACCCAGTAAACTTAAAAAAATATTGGCACAAGCAAATCCAGTTTAGTTTCCTAACTTGGCCTGACCACCACTTCAAACAATCCTTAGCCACCACCATCCTTTGTTGAAACTTTATTTTCAATTGCCCAGCTGTCCAACACATTTCCCACAAATATATAAGCGGACAGGAGGTGGGACGCGGCAACAGCGGGGCAGCGGTTAGCGCACTGAGCCCTGCTTCGCGTTTGAATCTCAAGTCACAGCACAGCTAAGAACAGTGACGAGTGATAACGGCGTCCCGTACTGCCCACTAAGTTATGATCAAACCCCATGAAAGGCACCGTTGGCATAGCGAGAAGCCTTCACGCAGCAGTGGGTGACAAAGGGGCTGTGTATTATTATTTCAACGTGCACATTATATCCCCGTCACAAGTGCCGATCACAGGGCCCAATGTGACGAGCCGGCGACCGTGCTTGTACGCACAATGAGACTGGCTGGCTCAGTGAACTGCGCAGAAGAAGAAGATGCGAGCAGCCGGCTCCGCCTCTCCCCCCCCTCCAACCCAGACTCTCAACCCCACAACTCGCCCTGTCCTCCCCCTCCCCCTTCGGTGAATTCAAGATGCCCTTCCCCACACGGCACGCTCACCCCGGCCCCCCATCAATCCATCGCGGGTATTGATACAGCGTAACTCTACTCAACTGGATGCATTACTGCCAACATAGAAAAGACCCTGGGTACGCAAGTGTCCCTGTATGTGCACGGCTCGTAATATTCACCACGCACAATAGACCGTCGTCTATGACGTGCGGGAATGTGCCGTTATACAAACACGTGGAGCCAGCGCTGCTGTCCATTGTTGGGTACTTGCTGGTAACGCGTGCGCACCCCCCCCCCCCCAGTCGATACGATTACAGTGGCGATCCCTGTACCCTGGGAATCCGTGCAAACGAGATCTCTCATGTCAAGGGATCATCCAGTTAGAACAGTTTAAATGTATATTTCACAAAGTAAAGGGCGGACGCGATATCGCTATAACGCCTGGTTCAGATCAGTCGAGTGAAATGGGATGTATGGATGTCTCGCCCGCGTTAACGCGCGTCGTTGCACAGACGAAGCCGTACGTGGGACGCACACGTGCGGCTACAGTACAGTACCCCCGTACGGCGTGAAGGCAAACAACCAGATCACAACTCTCATTTTCCACAACAAAATCGCGAGCGGGGGTGTCGGCGGTTGCAAGTTGGAAGGGGTTGGCCAACAGCCCGGCCAATAATAATGTCCAATGACTGACTGGTGCTCTCACAAAGGAAGCCCACAAAGACCATGCGTCACAACCCAACACGCATGAGCGGACTCCGCGCCCGCACGCACACACATCACGCGCACACACACACACATCACGTCCGCCCGCACGCACTCACATCACGCGCACACACACACATCACGCCCGCACACACACACATCACACCCGCGCACACACACATCAGTCACGCACACATACACATCACGCACACATACATATCACACACATCACGCACGCCACTCACACGCACGAACACATCACTCGCGCACACACACACACTACTCACGCACACACATCACTCGCACACACACATCACTCGCACACACACATCACGCACTCGCACGCACGGACTCCCCCCACCCCCGCCATGAATAGCTGGCACGAGGTGGAGGGCAACGCGTGTGCGATGTTATCGGCGTGGGGAACGCCGGCGATGGAAAGGTCACGCGGAGACAGAAACGCTGAGCGGGGACCCGGCCGAGACGGAGCGACCACAACTCCAGCTGCTACCGCTGCTGGCGGTGGTGTAGGCGGCGTCTTTTGTTGTAATCTGTGCCGGCCCAATGGAAGGAGGCTCGGCCGGTCAACACCACCACCCCCCTGCTCCCCCAAACCCCCACACCCCAACCCCCCAGACTCCCACAACACCGCCTGCCCTGGGGGCACGCCAACCACGCTCGCCTTGCCCCCCACCAGCGCGGCGCACAAAGACAACGACGACGATGGTCCTCCTCGTGGGCCGCATGTAGACAAAGACGACAACAATGTCCCCGCGTGGCATCCTGTTGGAGCGCGCGTGCTGTTAGCGAGACCCTATTTGTCCTCCCCCCCCCCCATCGCTGATGTTTAGAGACAGCTTCACCCTCCTCCTCATTCAACCTAAAGTGAGATTAGAAAATGTAATTAAGGGGAGGGCCCAACGTTTGTTCCCATGTCACCCGCCACTGATGTTAGCCGGGAGCGCAGCACGAACCACGACGCCACTACTCCCCTATGTACTTCACTTGACTTGATCCCCCGTACACTGTATAGCCTTAACAGACTGTTGGGGCAAGTGCTGTTAGGGAATAGCATCTATGAAGGCTGGAACGGCACACGAAGGGGTGGGTGGCCAACACCATTTCAGGCCACCTTTGTCTCCCCAGTGGCGATGTTTACACACCGCACCAGGTACTCATTTCAGGCTGAGTCGACCTAGGGGAGGCCCGGGAGCGGTTCAGATAATCGTCACTGGTGTTGGCCGTGAGCGGGAATCGCTCCCGGGTCGCCAGGTTCATAGCGCAGCACGCTAACCGCTACACTACCGCTCCCCACGACACACAGTCGCACACACGCAGCTAGAGACGACACACACAGTCGCACACACGCAGCTAGAGACGACACAACAACAACCGCCATTCGCCACTTAGTGCCGTTGACGTCACCACGACGCTTGTCCCAGGCCATGTGCACCTTGAGGCCACGTGAAGTGTCGAACGCCCGCTGGCAGGTCACAGGGCAGACCCAGGTGCCACGGGTCGACTGACTGAGATGACTGGCTGATGCACCACCTGTGACAACCTGCTGTGCTTTAGCCACCCGGCGCTCCGCTCGTTGTTGTGAGCGTCGCTCCTCCACCCTCCCGTTGTTGTTGGAGGGCGACTGCCTCCAACTGCCTAGCAGCGTCCTTCACAAGCCTCCTCCACAGAGGTCGATCTTGACACCGCTGGTACCAGTCATCGGCAAGTCCACTCAGCTCCACGTCCTCCTGTACCACATCACTCCATCTCTTCTCTAGCCCGTGCCGCGCCCGTTTATCCCCCTCGATCCGGCCGAACAAAAGCTGTTTCGGCATGCGGTGGCTGGGCATGCGGGCTACATGACCCAGCCAACGCAGCCTTGCCTGCCGGAGGAGCTCACCGATGGGAATTTCCCAGATTTTACAAGGATTTGTGAGCTCCTCACACTATCCAGCCTGGTTAAACCCAGGATGGATCGTAGGCAGGCCAGACGACACACACAGTCGCACACACACAGCTAGAGACGTGCCCCCAATAAACAGAGACACATTAACGTACAACGCAGGAAGAAGCAGTGACGACACGAACAACAGCACGCGCACACTACCACACAGACTATTTGGACAGCACACACATGTGCGCCGATATGCAACTCCACAAAAGGGTGCGCAACCTATCTCCCAGACTCCCAAGACAAAGATCCACGTTGATCCCTGCACGCATTCACAAAACAAACCCCCCCCCCCCCCCCCCCCAGTATAGCCTTGGTGTGGGGGGGGGGGGAAGTGCTGCTTTATTATTGAGTATCCAAGCGGCGCTGAGGAACACTACAGGGTGGTTGAGGTCACTGGCCGGTATCACGACCTACCTACAGCCTTTGTTTCCCCCACTGCTGATACACACACCGCACCGAAGTGCTCTTTCGAGACTCAAGTCAGCTTGGGGAAGTTCCACGTCCGGGAAGTGGAAACAATGAGGTGGAGCGAGACGGACTAGCGGGGCTAGAGAACGCCTTCTCCGCAGGCTACCCTTGCCTCTCCGTGAACCGATGAAGACACGCCGAATCGGGAACTCATCACCACTGAGATTATCCGTGGCCGGGAATCGAACTCGGGTGGCTGAGTTTGTAGCGCAGCGCGCGAAACAATGCGCCCACCGCTCTCCACAGAAGCACGCACACACTCACACCCACACACAATCACACATACAATCACACACATGCACACACTCACACCCACACACAATCACACATACAATCACACACATGCACACTCACAATCACACGCACACATACAATCACACACACGCACACACACAATCACTCACACACACTCACACAATCACACACGCACACATACATACATACAATCACTCACATACACGCGCACACACACATACATACACTCACACCCACGCACACACTCACACAATCACTCACACACACGCACACACTCGCACAATCGCACAATCACATACAATCACACACACACACACTCACACCCCCACCCCTCCGTCACGGCCCGCAGGCAGCCCGGGTCGGTGCTGGGGGGTTGAGGGCTGCCCGGCGCCTCTCAGATCGCCCGTGTCGCAGGAGCGGAAAGCCCGAGAGTGGCGCAGCCACGGAGAGGGAACCACAAAGAGGAAGGCGCGACCACGGCTCCGGCTACGACGCCGTAACACAGCCCGCACTGACTCACACGCGCACACCGACACGCGGATGAAGACACCCCTACGAACACGCGGATGAAGACACCCCTACGAACACGCGGTCCCCCATATGCCCCTATATAGAGACCACCGTGGCATGGTGCTGTTCACCAGAATCGACGAAGGCCGACCCGGCACACGAGGCGGTGGTGACGGCTAATACTCACCCCTCCTCGTCTCGCTGCTCCGTATTTGTGATGTTAACACACCGCTCCACGTCCTTATTTAAGGGGGTTAGTCGATCTAGAAAACGCTCAATATAACAACCTGCCACTGGATGTTGACGTACATTCACACACGCATAAAGAGACCCCCTCCCTCCCAACACATGCGCGCACACACGCAGTGAGCCGCTGACGCGAACACATTCACGTAACGCGTCCATCCATACGCACAATCCAACTTGCAGGCGTCACAGAGGCATACGTGTGACACGTAGAACACACACAATCCCCCTCAAGTATAGGCCGCCTCTCACAGGCACGGTAGATCGGTATACGAGAAAACAATTTACGCACAGACCCACACACAGGCAGATCACATACAGCGCCAAACATCGACCCACGCACAGACTCAACTTGCAAAGACTCATAAACACCGACCCATACACAGGCAGACTCGCAGACACAATGCCACGTCCAGTACACGAAAACCTATACTGGTCCACAGAAGACTCACAAACAGACGCATAAACACTGACCCATAGGTAGACCCACAGACACCAATCCACATACAGGCAGACCCATAAAGGCGAGTAGAGACCCACACCCACAAACTTGGCAGACCTATACATATAAATCCCATACACAGTTATTCAGAAGGACCCCGTACAGAGACAGACATAAAATAACCACATATGTACAAATATGTTTCCAAATTCCAGACAGCCCTTATACCTACAAACCAAAGGCAGACCCACAAACTGACAGCATTCCAGTCGCATACGGATAGAGAGGCAGACTCCCACCACAGACCCACGTGTCGTGGTGGACACGTGGCGTGGTGGACACGTGTCGCTCTAACACGGCGTCCCCCACACTCCCCGGGTCGCAATCCCTTCACACGTGGATCATCATATTCCCGAGGCCGTAAATACAAATCATGTTAGACGGCACAAGTTTCCACTCGTGTACATCACTACACAACACAGCCGTGCTTACAGTAAGTAGTCAGATTCCATACGCGGAGTTTCGCGTTTTATGGACTACGTTAAATACGGCAGCACGATCGTGTTACACCGTATTGAAGTGAACACGTGTACAGAACTATGCATGGCCCAGAGCACCAGACAACCCTTTTGGCAATCCACTGCTGGATGATAGCCTCCCTGCAGTGTTACGTGCTGGGCAATGTTCATATTGCCAGGATCACTGCACGGTTATAAAAGTGCACTAATTCGCACATATGTACGGTCTTATGTACGCAATGACTTACACGGGCGTAGTGAGTATAGTGTACTGTAAACACGCGATGAACACATGGCTCATGTTCATACAATGCATACAAATACTGCACATTACAAAAACAATTGCTCTCTATATATAGTCCATAGAATGTGCACGAAAGGGCTGTGTATTCAGCGCTATTTACGACTGCGTAGTGCACGTGGATTGGACCTGTATTGTGCGCGTGTGTGCATGTCACACCACCATATGTAAACAGCGTCTTTGGTGTCATGCATATTATTGATGTAGTATGGAAAGATGGGTGGTGTACTTTAGGCACTGTCCTTTATGAGAACGTGTGCAATTATATACAGCATGTGCACTACACAAAGACCCCCCCCCCCCCACCGTAAAGCCTTAAGACTGTTAGGGCAAGTGCTGTCAGCGAGCACCTATTAAGGCCGGCACGGCACGCGAGGGGGTGGGTGGCCGGGCCGCCTTTGTTTCTCCAAGTGACGATGTTTACACACAGCACCGGGTACTCATTTGAGGCCGAGTCGACCTAGGGGAGGCCCAGAACCGGTTCAGATAATCGTCACCGATATTGGCCGTGAGCGGGAATCGAACTCTGGTGGCCGGGCTCGTAGCGCAGCGTAGCGCTAACCACTACACCACCGCTCCCCACACTACACACACACAGGCATCACCTTCTGTCAATCCACTGCTGGATGAGGGCCCCCCCACTCCACCACGTCTAATGTACCGCCACACACGCCGCAGTACGTAGTTGCGTTGTACTGCGCAACGTGTACAAACATGACGTGCTGTTGTGTATGGAGCTTTATACTTATACACACGCAGTATAGCATGTGGATTGTATATCGTATTCTACTACGTATACATTGCCCTATTATAGTGTTAAAGTTCATCTGTACGTAGAGACAAGCGGCTACAGTTCACAAACTTTATTATATACAGTACCTGTAGTATATGCGATAGTGTACTATTCTAGACTGTATTGATTACACGTGTGTACTACGCGTGTTGCTTATACAGTACCTAATTCGAATATTATTTATATTTTAGTGCGCCTTAACTTAGGTTCTGCAGAGTATACCGTCCTGTAACTCGTATACAAGTACAAAATCCTCCAGCATCACGCTATAGTTATACCCTTAGTATAATGGCTATTACAATACTGTAGAGTATCGAGTACTGTACATACATTATATAGTACGTATTGTGCTGTGGTATGGGATTCCGCCCTGTTCAAGTCGAATAGTAACATTACGTACTCGGAACTCAAACCTTACATTGTAGAATTACCGTCGAATACAATACTATTTTAACATAGCACAATATCCACGTGCTATACGTGAACATACAACAGTGTACACTATTACAGTATACAATAGTGCCACTGTGCTTCTATGCTGCCACATCTACGGAGCCCCCGACGCCCGCATTGACCAGCGTGGTGAAGTATGGTCAAATTACCCCCAGCGACCCGTACAGACGTAACTCTTGCGACACCGCGCTATGTAACCACACACACACTATTAACATTACTTCTGTGTAAATACGCGCATTGAAGTAGTATCCTGTTCTGCGCTCCACACGGCACGTTTAGCGAACACGTTCTCGCCGTCAACAAAGAGTGTGGGAGCCTTAACGACGTGTATACACACTCGGGCATGTGGCGCCTTGGTGCGTCAAGTGAAACTTACTCGGGCATGTTGGTGGTGGTGGTGGCGGCGGCGATTCCGGGGCTCGTGGACAGGGAACCACGCAGCTTACAACACCCCCACACGCAACACCGAACGCGCCGGGCTGCCCGAAGAACACCAAGAACACGATATCCCCTCTGTGTGTGTGTGGTGTGGTGTCCGCGCCGCAGCTCCTGTTAGTATGTTATCCGCTGTGATTATTATCGTTAATGTTAACGGTGGTTGTTGTTGTTGTTGTGGTGAGAGACGGCGAGGGTGGGGGGGGTCCCAGCAGCTCTCGCTCCACTCCCGGCTCGCGGCGCGCGCGTTGCCGAGTGCGGGGCGGGGAGCCTCGCGCCGCGCGCGCTCCTCCACCACGGCGGGGCCCCGCCCCTCTCCCTCTACGACCCGCCCACGCTCATCACCATAATTAATGCCTCCGCGACCTATTGGCCGTCGCGCAAACGTCTTTAGCATAATATATGCGATTTTTTTTTTAACACGAGTTACGTAATTTAATATTCATCGTAAAATCGTGACGTCAGCGACACGGTGGACTAATCACCGCGGCGCCCCTCTTGCGGACGAGGCGTGACCAGCAGCCGGGGAGAGGGGGAAGGGGCTCGGGGGGGGGGAAATGTCTGACGACGACCTCCGATTGGCTATGCCGCGGTCGCACGTGACAGTAGGAGGCGTGGTGATGAGGTGGAGGGGGGGGGAGCACGTAGGCGAAGTGGGGAGGGGACGTGTTCGAGTTGGGGACGGAATGTACCAAGGCGGGGGCGGGGGGTTGTGGGGGGGGCAGAGATCGGTATCTGCTGACGTCAGCACTGTTTGGGTTTTTCGGGGCGAGCTGTATTTATTTATTTATTTCGGTCTTCCTCTGGCCGCCTGCGCCAATGAGAGACTCGGGCTGCGGAATGTGAATCAACGAGTTTCACGCACAGTGACTGCGCCAAAAATAATTATTGCGTTGAAAAAAAAAGAAAGTACGCAACGTTTAACAAAAAAATCCCAAAAACACCACAGATTGGAAATACCCAGAAAACAGCAGTTCCCACAATCTGCTTACTTTTATTTGATTCATCCCTCACGTGAACTACGTTTAGCAATCATCAGGCGCGTGGGGCACGTGACGACTTAACTTGTATTTGGACAGAAGATTTAAAACACTGCACTATCGGCGCACTGAAGTACGGAGTGGGGAGGAGGGCTTCAGCAGAAGATGGACAATGGGATGTAAATTATTAATGATTGTTTTCATCATGCTGTGTAAACGTTTCTAAATATTCATGATTTTAAATGGCCTGACCATATATGGCATTGTACAATCTTTCTAAAAGCCCCATTAAACATGAATTCCTCCACCTTAGTCTACGATACACGCATTTTGACTATCTGACCAGTTTATATTTCAAAGTGTTGTATATGATCGTAATTTTATTTGGAACTCGTTCATTTCTTATATATTTAAGACACGCACAGTTGCTTTGTACACACACACACATGTTTAGACAGTATTTATTCACCACTATTAATGACCCGCAATGTGCCACGAACTCCTCTGATCTCAGACGCTGGGCAGTGCTGAGGCAGTGGGTGACCACCATGCGACCAACAGCTGCTGTAGGCCGCCGGCCTCCCACGTGGGGGGTGGCCATTTTGGCAAAATTCAAACTTGTCCTGTGTCATGGTTCGACGCCACCCGGCTTCACCGCAGTGGCGAGATGTTAACTCCCTCGCCTGGTATGCAGGAGGCTGTGGTTTTGAGCCCAGCGATGACGCCATGTATGTTTGAAGATTGCATGTTCTCCCTGCGGTCGCGTTGATTTTTCTCCGGGTGCTCGGGTTTTCCCCCTCCACATTAAGAAACACGCGTTTAGAATATTTGGCTGTGAGAAATGTCCACGTGATAAGCCACTTCGTTGAGCTATCATGTGTGATCAGGTCGCTTCTGAAAAAAAGAGCTGTATAGCTCAGTGGGCCATACCTGGTAAAATAAAACAAAACTGACCAGCGCGGTATCCTGTGACCTAAATAACCCCTCCACGATGCGGTACCGCTCTCATCGAGCAGTGGAGTGACAGAGAAGCTACGCACGGCGTGCGTGTTATTACCATTGTTTCACCGGGTGAGAGAGAGAGAGAGAGGGCAGATTGAGAAGGCTCCTCGTAGGCTCTCAGTGCTCGGGTGACCCGGGGAGATGCCGTCGCTGCTTTATACTCAAACAGCGCGGCTGATCAAAGCCTGCAGAAAAAAATTACAGTAATGTTTGAAAGCCGTGCTGGCGTTCGAGGCAAAGCCACGTCATCACAGTCCACTGGAAGTTTGCTACTGCATGGATATCGAGGAATGCGTGTGCAGGCGGTGCAACTGCGCCGAGACCCACGGGCCGGGAGGGGGGGGCAGGAGTCGGCCTACAACGAGAGGAACGGGGGGGGGTGGTTAAGAGAGGGCCCCAATTGGATTCCTTGCCAACCACGCCGCTATGCCACTGGTAAGACACGGGGCGTCTATTACAGTGAGGGAAAAAAGTATTTGATCCCCTGCTGATTTTGTACGTTTGCCCACTGACAAAGAAATGATCAGTCTATAATTTTAATGGTAGGTTTATTTGAACAGTGAGAGACAGAATAACAACAACAAAAAAACAGAAACACGCATGTCAAAAATGTTATAAATTGATTTGCATTTTAATGAGAGAAATAAGTATTTGACCCCTCTGCAAAACATGACTTAGTACTTGGTGGCAAAACCCTTGTTGGCAATCACAAAGGTCAGATGTTTCTTGTAGTTGGCCACCAGGTTTGCACAGTATCTCAGGAGGGATTTTGTCCCACTCCTCTTTGCAGATCTTCCCCAAGTCATTAAGGTTTCGAGGCTGACATTTGGTAACTCGAACCTTCAGCTCCCTCCACATATTTTCGATGGGATTAAGGTCTGAAGACTGGCTAGGCCACTCCAGGGCCTTAATGTGCTTCTTCTTGAGCCACTCCTTTTTTGCCTTGGCCGTGTGTTTTGGGTCATTGTCATGCTGGAATACCCATCCACGACCCATTTTCAATGCCCTGGCTGAGGGAAGGAGGTTCTCACCCAAGATTTGACGGTACATGGCCCCGTCCATCATCCCTTTGATGCGGTGAAGTTGTCCTGTCCCCTTAGCAGAAAAACACCCTCAAAGCATAATGTTTCCACCTCCATGTTTGACGGTGGGGATGGTGTTCTTGGGGTCATATGCAGCATTCCTCCTCCTCCAAACACGGCGAGTTGAGTTGATGCCAAAGAGCTCCATTTTGGTCTCATCTGACCACAACACTTTCACCCAGTTGTCCTCTGAATCATTGAGATGTTCATTGGCAAACTTCAGACGGGCATGTATATGTGCTTTCTTGAGCAGGGGGACCTTGCGGGCGCTGCAGGATTTCAGTCCTTCATGGCGTAGTGTGTTACCAATTGTTTTCTTGGTGACTATGGTCCCAGCTCCCTTGAGATCATTGACAAGAACCTCCCGTATAGTTCTGGGCTGATTCCTCACCGTTCTCATGATCATTGCAACTCCTTGCATGGAGCCCCAGGCCGAGGGAGATTGACAGTTCTTTTGTGTTTCTTCCATTTGCAAATAATCGCACCAACTGTTGTCACCTTCTCACCAAGCTGCTTGGCAATGGTCATGTAGCCCATTCCAGCCTATTGTAGGTCTACAATCTTGTC